CATGAAATCACACACACATTTCTGCCTCCAACAAAATCAGTTCATTCATTTTTTCACTCACTTGAAAAGGCAAATATGGACTGAAATTTCAAATTTTGTAAGGAATTATTTAACCCAGAGGGTAAAGCTCTTTTGTAGTTAAGCCTGAATTCAGCTTGAAGCATAAAGAAAACTGTAGCATAAATTAGCACATACTGAAAAGGTGATGCTTGAGAAACAAAAAGTTGATTTAAATCCAAGTAGTAAACCAAAGAACTAAACTTGTTAATTTGCTGGATACTGTCACTGATTAAATAAGTAACTGCAGTCAGATTATAGGATCTCAAAGACAAAATTAAATATGTGTGGATTGAAAAACCTGTGAACTTTGTAAGCATCAAAACCCAAGAGAGTGGCATATTTCCATTACTGTCTGAATCGAGTTGTTGCATTTCTCTGGCACAATTTGAGAGCTCACTGATACTTGTATAAATATGATAATTCAACTCACAATTGTAGATCTAACATTATGTATCAAATCAAGCCATTCAACACATCTGCCCTCCTATGGTACCAAAATGTATTGCATGTCACAAAACATTTTGAAGACTAAACATTAATTCTAGTCCAAATGATAGCACGTTTAATTTAGAATGAAAATGAACAGCCCACATGCACTGAAAACCTTCCCAGCAATGCTTAAAAAATGACTGTGGAGTTTAACACCAGTAACAAAAATAGGATTAGGCATTTTTGAAGGAAAATATTGTGCTTCTGTATCAACAATCTTCCCCCTCCAGTCCTCCTTTTTTTTTTTTAAAGTCTTTAAACCTGGTGCTTAACTCTGTCCATGAAATATTACACAATATGTTGATCATGCTGGTTTTTAATTTCAACTCAACTGAAGAAGCATTGTTAAAAAGAATGACTACATCCCAGGGGAATCAGGAAATTAAACTTTATTTATTGGGGTTTGACTTTCCCATAAGTAGACAGAGCCATATCCCATCTGATCACCATGTGAGAGGAGGCACAGCTTGAAAAACAGCACTGCCCATGTGCCACTGGGCCATTGATTAATTAAGCAATAAGATGAGGAGGTCTGTCATTTAGGGTCATTAATGCTTGTCTAAAATGCCATTTGAAGTGTCAGGTTAGTATCATAGAGCCTGAGCCCACAGGATTTACATCTGAGCACAGGACTTGATCCTTGTGTTGGTCTGTTTGCATCATTGGCTTGGCACTGCCATTTGTAGGCACTGGAATATACTGGTCAACCTAAACACAATCTACATTTTTGAGGGTGGGAAGGTGGGAGAGGGAGAGCAGATCTTCATTTTAAATTCATTTTAAATTCAGAAATAGCATGGTTTGTATTACAAAAATTGTCTCTCCGTGGAGTATTGTAAAGTATCATAAAAATATATATATACAGCAATTAGTTTCTTAAAATAATATACCAGCAGTCTCCAAAGAAGTTCCTAAGTGCTCCATAGCAAATCCATACCCAGGGAAAGGAGTGCTGGTGACAGCAGAAGTCCGGGAGTCAGGACTCCTCCATCTTACAGTCATGGCTTTGCTGCCAAATGAGCCATCACCCTCAGTGCAGCAAGCCACAATTAATTCATCTGCCAAATGAGTACTACCACTTAAATACTTCACAGGGCTGCCGTAAAGAGTAATTCATTGCTATTAGGTAGTGCTTTATGATCATCATATCACTATTTCCAGGCATCCCACAGCAAGGAATTAAAAAAAAAAAAAAAAGGGTATTCTCAAGATTCTTCTGATTTTCTGAACTGGTTCCGGTAACCTGGAAGAAACCACCACTCCCTCCCCCCTCTGCCAGAGCTGCTGCATTTTGTAAGCAATAGTTAAACACTGGTCCTGGGAGAAAGCCCAGGGTTTTCCCTGGTTCAGTGGGCTGGGCACTCACCTGGGAGCAGGCATTCCTGAGTCCCAGTCCTTGCTGCAAGGTATGTCCCACCAGTCCCCTCTGAGCAGCACCTCTTGGCTTCTGTTTGACTGACACTTACCTATGTCAAACTACATTTTTCTCTGCACACCACATTTAAGAAATCATAATTTGAAATATTTCACTTCCAGGTGAATATACCAAAGGATAACAAACATGATTCCCCAAGAGAGCAAGCACAAGGCTGTAGCCCAGTGCAGCAGCCATGACAGCCTGAGAACGGAGGTTTCTGCAGCCAGGGTGTGGAAACTTCAGTGACAAAGTTGCTGTTCTTCAGCTCAGCTGGATTCATCATGGGATTGCAGGATATCCTGAGTTGGAAGGGACCCACAGGGGTCATCGAGTCCAGCTCCTGGCCCTGCGCAGACACCCCGAACATCCCACCCTGTCCCTGAGAGCGTTGTCCAAACGCTCCTGGAGCTCTGGCAGCCTTGGTGCTGTGCCCACTGCCCTGGGGAGCCTGGGCAGTGCCCAACCACCCTCTGGGGGAGGAACCTTTTCCTGAGATCCAAACTAAACCTGCCCTGACACAACTTCAGGACATGTTGTGGGGTTAAGCTGATGAGCAGCAACTCATTAAACCAAAGGAACTTGCAGCCCATCCCCTGCTTTAACTTTTTAAATCTATTTTGCAATCAATTTTGTCTGAGTTCTGTATAACTAATAAACTGAAAACGCTTTTAAATTAACCCAGAGGAGAATTCTTACAAATGCTGTGCAGAGAGTCCCTAAGTTGATGAAGGCTCAGGAGAAAAAACAGAGGGCAATGATACTCATTGGAAAGGATTCTAGGATGAAGTCTGTTGTTTCTGAAAAGAGGGTGGGGTTTTTTAAAAATAAAATAGTGACAAAAACATCCCTCTTTACCAGCAGCACCCAGAGCACAACCCCTCCCTCTCCAGCACAATATTTGGCCGGGTTAAGCCACAATACACTCATTCTGCTGAGCCTACCTACACCCATCTGATCCCAATTAACTCCCAGCCAGGAGCCCTTTCCTGCACTTCTAGGAAACCTTTAGGGGAGTTGCCAAACCTCCTCCCCTCTCTTCCATCCCCCAAGAAGAAAGGAAAAAAAAAAAATCCACTTTCAAAAATGTTTTAACTCAACAGGACCCTCTTCTCAGAGACATTATCATCCCAAGATTAAACAAATTGATGGTTTTTATCCAAAGTACACAAAGCTATGACTTTTGGAATTTATCTGGGGAATTTATCATTCCTTTCCAAATTCAGTGTATCGTGTCTCCTTTTATTTACCCAACAAACACTGCCAGGGCATGAGATGTGTGGGAATCACCTGTTTTGTTCAACTCAGCACAGTGTATTTCAGTTTATAGAGACTTTATGATCTCTTCTGCTTCTCCTCTGGAATATTTATTACAATATAGTTGAAACAATGTATTAATTCACAGTTACTTTTTGTTTTAAAAAATCCATGTTTTAATCAAATGTGAAGAAGAAAAAAAGAGGGGAAAAAAAGAAATCTGGAATGTTTCTATTGGTGTTTTAAGGCATAACGAACCACAGCAATTTATTTCACCACATCCAGTTGTAATGCTAAACCACAGATAAACATTACTAATGGAGCAAGAATGTGCTGCTTCCTTGTGATGGAGGTCCAAGATTGCCCTCTGGAGTTTGCCAAACAGCATGGGGCACTTCAATCACCGTGTGATTGGCACACACTCCAGTTCTGAATCAGTTTGGAGATGAAATTGTTGGCTAAAGCTCTGGAAATTCTGACTCTAGAGCTGTCAGGAAGGCTGTCTTTACTCTGAGAAAAAAAATAATTGTTTTTCACATGTTACTTGGCTTTTTATGTGGTTTTACATTGTTCATTAATGTTTTGGATTTTAATGTATTGTGCAGCACCCCAAGAACTCTGGTAGGGGGAACTCATAAAAAAATATGAGTTTATTATTTCAACATGTGATAATAAAATCATGTTTGGGGAAATACTCTAATCCCACCTATTTTGATGGCACACAAAAAGGCCATCAGCCATTGCATGCTGATAACAAAAGATATATCTGTGCCCTGAAAGGCAGAAATGACATTTCTTAACTTAGCTCATGTTCAAGGCAGCTCTTACAGTGCAGGGCATTCTACGGGTTAAGGGTTTATTTTACCATTTATCTTGTAAATCAAGGAAATTGGCCCATAAACTTGTGCTTAATTTTTTTTTTTAGTCAACATTATTTTGCATAGCAACAACCTTATTTGTAGGATATTTTAAGACCCGCAGTTTGGCTTATTATTTTATTGATATTAATGGAAATGATCCAGAAGAGGAAAACACATCATTTGGAGGTCTGACTCTACAGCCTGCCACATCCTAACGTCAGTGAATATTCTAGGAGCAGAGTGCTTGGAGGATTGGTTCTGAACTCATTTCCTTAGGGATATGTAACTATAAAATCCTCAGTTCTTTTCAGATCCAGTCACCTCAAACTCAAATCTTCATGCAGCCTTTCACTTCAGCTTGAGTTTTTCCCCCCCTTACTCCCAGGAATCAGGTTTTGTGTGTGCACTCACAGTGTGCAAACATTGTCCACAACACTCTCTTTTTCCACTTCTACAGTGCTGTGCTATAACCCAACATGACAGCTGCTTTGCACAGCAATTTAACGCACAGCTTCTTTTTTATCTCCTTTCTCCAGTGGCTGGTGACCTGCCTTCACAGGCACTAAACCTTTATGAAAGGTTTCTCTCTTACTGAACACACAAGAGTTTTGGCTCCCTGTCGTGGTAAACCCTCGAGGATCCAATTCCATTATGCTCCTGTGTCAACAGAGGTGCTGTCAGATACCTGAGGTACAGCCATGCCACCGATCTGGAACCTGAAGGAGATTTTGTAGCAAGATGAGGGTCAACCAGTATCAAATAACACAAGCACAATCCCCACCTCTGTTCTCCTAATAGAGAGGTATTTTGAAAAATATGTACAATCTTTATAATGCTCCTCTTCATGAAAATCTTTATAGCAATGTATGTCTTCAGAGTAACATAAGATTGATTCCAATGACCTCAACTGTACTGCCACATGAACTTTGCCAAAATGTTTATTCCTTCACCATTGATTTGAGTAATGAACAGTTCAGATTTGGGAAGCCAGTGCTCCAGGGGTGTTTTTACACTTAAGATGACTTGTCTGGCTGCAGGTTTTTTGCATTCTCAAGAACAGGTTGCTCAATGCACCAGTTTGTGCCGTGGTGTTTTGGGAACCGCCTAAACCAGGGGCCCTCAGTGTTTTCATTGTTTTCATCTATCACAAAGGATGTCTGGTAAATGGTTAAGCCATCCTCGCTGCTAGGGATGGATTCATGAGCCCACTCAAAGAAGTTAGTGGAGCTCCCTTGCTGTTTGTCTGGATCCAACTTCTTAAGGCCCATGCCCTGGGAAAAAAATGGAGAGAAAAATTCATGCAAACATATGACTTCCAGTCACAGCTTCACAGATGAATCTTGTAACAGTCACTACCCCACTGGGAAGTGAACGAAGCTGTTACCACAGTGATTTCAAGAACTCAGGGCTGATCTTTAGCAAGTTAAAAATAATATTGTCAGACTTGCCTGGATGAACGTTTCTGGTTGCATATATAATGGGAAATCTGCTGACCTTCCACCTCTTAGTGCTAATAAACCACTTTTACTTTGCATTTCTGTAGCATACCATGTACTCAAGGCTATTTATCTACACTCAGCTAAATTAATCTTCAGAGTAACCCAAAGAAATAGGTTAATAATTTTAGGTTCAGGCTGCAATGAAGAGACAGAGACAGACCATGAAATCTGAATCTTCAAAGCCATCCCTTGTGTGTCCAAATACAGAGAGACAGAGACTGATTTCCACACTCCGTAGCTTGAAGGAAATTTATTTGGAATTATGGTTGATCAGTATCTCTAAAACTATGAGACACTGCACAAAGTGCACAGAAATGGAGGTTACTCAGTGAAATATGAATTCAAAAAAGTCTGAGAGAGCCAAAAGTCAGACAAACTTTCTATATTACAATTCACTGCTTCCTCCTCTACTTATTATCCTGTGAACTGCACCATTTCTTTTGCTGCCTGGACTCATACCAACAACCCAAGAAAAGTGGAAGAACATGAAACTGTTGTACATACAGAGAAGCCCTAAACAATTTCAATCCTATTCAAAGGATAGGATATTGTGTGCTGGCTTCTGCAGCATACATTTAAACAGGTGTGTTATAGAGATCTGCTTTGGAAAAGATTACACCCTGCAGATGCACTGTGGGTATCCAATGGATTTTGGTTCAACTTCTGATAAAGATGAGTCTGAACCAAATGTTTGGGGCTGTGGGTTAGGAGTGCTTGAGAGCCCTACAAAAATTCATTGCAAGGCCAATCACCTTTAGCAGACTAACAGGGCCTATAACTGGGTAGAAAACCAAAACAGGAATACAAGACCCAAACAATGTTTTTTTTTGTTCCCGTTGAATTCTCCCACTCTCAATGTGTGCTGCTGTACACCTGTGACAGTCCCAGAGAAGTCCCACCCCTACACTAATAAAAAATGTATTTTTCTTTTTTTTTTACATCTTTCTCTTCTCAGAAGTTTTAGCATCTATTACTTTTTTTTTTTTTTTGCAGGGGACAGAAAAGATACTGTGTTCAATCTCTGGCAGACTAATAGATATGAGTTTGATTGACTTGTCTCAGTGCCCAGTACTTACAAGATCAAAATACTCTGCTGCATTACATAGGCTGTGTTTGTTGTCATGAGAAGAAAATGGGAAATTCTTGTTCCCTGCTTTCTGAAAGAAAAGAAATTATAGCAAAAAAATATGAATTTTCATATACCCTGTTTGCAGTCTACCAATCTTAGTCCTTATATTCTGAAATTACAGCTGTGTTCTAGCACAGAAGTCATATTCATATGTTAAATATTCAACTGCCCATGATTTTATAGGGGCAATGTGGACCTTTTTTTTTTTTTAAATAATCAGGAGGATTTGCTTATGTTTATATACATGATTAATATAAAAGTGTGACTTTTCAAATAAGAAATGCTACACTCTGTCTGCAGGCAGCAAAATGCTGGATATGTCAGGATTGCCTTGTTTGATTTAGCAGCAGGCCTAAAGCTAATTAAAATAAACTACAAAAGGGACCTCAAAACTGAATTAGTCTGTGATTTATGAACTGAATGTCATCGACATTGCTTGTTGCAGGGGAAGTGGAGGAGGTATTAATTGCTTAACTAATTTATAATCTCATTCTTTAACATGATGTTCATCCAGTCTCTTCAGAAGAAAAAAAGGCCAACTGCAAAAGATCTATTTTAAAAAGAACTGAACATATTTAAATTTTTTAATGTTTGTTATATATCATTGCAATATTCCAGCTATGATATTCCCCTCCAAACAGAAGAATGAGTTTTAATGTAACACAGTCTAAAAGAGGTGTTTTGAGAGTAGGGGAATCTGAATCAGTTCTAAAAAGAAATGTAACTGGAGGCCTGATCTAGAAGAAAGGTCCCCAAGTAGAAAATCTTCCTGCATGGTCATATGCCAGGATATTTGGTCTACTAGGCAGATTTTCTAATATATGTGTTTAAAAATACGCACCTTCTAAGTCAGTAAAATGTAAGACTTACTAAAATATCCTACTGCAATTACTTGTCAAGCTCAACATTTCAGCAATAGTGTTTATTACTAATGCCTGTGTGCTGCAGGAAAATTGAAAACCAGGATGGTAAATACTGAATATCATCTCTTGGAAGGATTCCCCATATTAACTAATGATTAAAAAAAATCTATTTTAGAATAATTATAGAACTATCATGAAGTAAGAAATAAGGCTTAAACAGTATTTCTGAGAAAATTCATTAACCTCACAGCCAGGGAGTTCCCTCATGCAAAGAGATCAGAGCCATCCAGCTAAACATGCAGTGAGCTTCCAACTTTTTAAATGTCACATAAACAATCTTCCTCAGTTTGTCCCTGTGACATCACATTTTAGCCTTTTGTGCTCTCACCACTGATCTCATTTTAATTCTTGATTTATGGCAGACAGGAGTTCCCCTAATTCTGTTTAACAGTGAAGGGCTGGTAAAGACAAGACATGAAACACCAGGTGAACAGTTACACTGGTGTTGATAAAAGGTCCCTCTAAGGTGGTTCTCCTTTTCAGACAGTGGCTAAAGCCAGATGTTCCACAGAAAGGCCAATGTAATATCAACACAGTGAACACCCAGGTTACAGTCTAATCTCTTTTTCACTAGCCCCAAGCTTCCCTTTTAAATATTCCTTCCAAGCCCATTTCTGCTCTTCATTATGGCAAAATCTGTGAAATGAACTCAATGTAATTGCTATGCTTATAGAAAATGAAAATAGAAAATGTTCTCTGCACAAAGTGGGTGGGTAAAGCAAAGCTCAGTGTGGTAATGGAATAAGGACATAAAAACGTGCTTTTGAAACTGCAACATTTTGAATTCTTGTGATTTTAAAATACCGTATTTTGTTTGAGCCTAAAATCGTCCCAGATCTCCTCATTTTTAAGCAAGCCTTAAAAACATTTTGAATGGGAAGCTTCTACCTTTTTAATGATCAAAAGAATAATCCTTTGCCTGAATATACAGAATTGCTGACATTCAGTACAAAACAGATCTTCAGATTTCAATTAAACGTTCTTACAGGGCTTTACACACAGCTTTTGGACTGAGATTGATCATAATGTATTCTGTGTCTCAAGAACAGAAAGGAAAAGTGACTGATGCTTGAAATCAGCAATAATACAGCAGGCCTTAGAGTATCCAAAATTACAAGTGAGTAACAGGGAAATATGTTTCTCCCTCAGCCCAGCCAGCAATCACTTTATCCCCCGAGGCACAAAGTCTGCCAAGCCCGCTGTGACTGCTCTGCTAACGACCCCAAGAGCTGTTCTTACTTACAACTTAGCAAGTGACAACTTGCAAAAGAGCTCTGGAAATCGACTGTATTGCCACAGGAACTCACCGGGTCCCGAGCTTTGTATTCCAGAGGCAATCTGTGATCAATGCCCTGAGCTGCTGTGGAGTCCAGGACATGTCTTTGTGCGGCGCTTGTCGTTGTCTCAAACTCATCCTGGCACTCTCCAACATGAGCAAACTAGAAAATAACGAATATTAAAACAAACAAACAAACAAACAAACATAACAAAAAACCCTGCCAAAAATAAATCTGATCAGAAATGTGGCCGAAGTAGTATTTTGCCATTTATTTTTTATTATTTGGATTGCAGCATCACCTAGTGGCCGCTGGAAAAATCAGGAGCCTCACATACACACAACACAACCCTTCCCATGGAGACAAGAATATTAGGAACTTTCAAGAGAAGAATATCCAGCAACTTTCTGAAGACTATTTATACAGCAATAACCACGCAGGAAATCCACTTAACAACCTTCCCCCCCACCCCCCCACCCCCCCCCGCTGCTCTTGCTGCTGCACGGCCACGGGTTTGAAAGGACAAAACTTTTGGGAACAGCTCAACCAATCGTCAGACCAGTGGGTTCAGAGCCTGAGGAACAGCTTGTGCCAGGTGGGTGTCACAGTGACCTGGGGTGCCAAGATGTCCCAACCCAGCGCTTCCAAAGGGGCGACAGTGTTATCCTAAGGGTGAGAACCGAGGGAAACGCTGGCTGGAGTTCTCCACAAGTGAAAGAAAATCAGCTAGGGCTAAAAATGTCAATCGACCTCCCGCATTGCTGAAAAACTGGAAAAGAAATCCAGCCGGAGTTTGCTCCAGCACACTTTCTCTGAATACCTAGAACACTTTTTCCTCATAAACATCAGAAATGGGAAAACTAGTGTCTGGCTAAAAGATAAAGTCACCCTTAGCATGGTGGGGTTTTGACAGCGAAAGGATAAAGAAGCCCCGTGGGGGACACGGGGGGGCTCCTGCCCAGCCCTCACCCAGTCGCCAGGGCGCCGCTCCCTGGGATTGGTCCACCTGTCCTGGGACATGGCTCCGCGCCGCCTCCACCCTGGAGATCCCTCCCGGCTCCTTGTCCTGCTCACAGCGGGGGACACGGGTGGAACCTCCCACTTGTGACCTCAGACCCTCCCTGGTGTTCCAGTGAGATCCAGGCGAGCAAAAGCAACGCTGCTCTTGCCCATCGGCTGCAGGGAGGGGAAATTAAAGTTGGTAAAGGGATTGAATGTTGTCTTAAAATGCGAGAGAAGTGGAGTTCTGTTTAAAAACAAATCAGTTTTGCACAAGCACTTCCAGGACACTTTACAACCTGAATGGCAATACCTTAAGGGTTTTTTTTTGTTTTGTTTTTGAATTTGAGTGCTGTCTTGGAAACATCCTGACTATTTAACTGTCAGCACACTTGGCTAATGTAACACAAACTAAGACTTTGCCTCCTTGGTCTTGACAGACTGCAAAGAATATGACACTCATCCTTTCTGGATCCAAACTGCCAGAGGGCAGGGTTAGATGGGATATTGGGAAGGAATCCTTCCCTGTGAGGGTGGTGAGGCCCTGGCACAGGTTGCCCAGAGAAGCTGTGGCTGCCTCATCCCTGGAAGCATCCAAGGCCAGGTTGGACGGGGCTTGGAGCACCCTGGGCTAGTGGAAGGTGTCCCTGCCCATGGCAGGGGGTGGAATGAGATGAGCTTTAAGGTCTCTTCCAACCCAAACCATTCTAGGATTCTATTTTTTTTTTACACACACACACACACACACACACACACACACACACACATATATATATATATACCAGTCCTTTCCCAGGATGGGGCTGGGACAGCCCTGGTGAGCTGGGAGCACTAGGGACACGCAGACGATGCTGAGAGGCACCACACTGTCCTAGCACAGAATCCCAGAATCAATTCAGTTGGAAAAGACCTCGGAGATCATCGAGTTCAACCTATGCCCCACCACCACCTTGTCAACCAGACCAAAGCACCGACTGCCACGTCCAGGATTAAGTTCCTTTAATCCTTAAACACCTCCAAGGACGGTGACTCCACCACCTCCCTGAGAAGCCCCTTCCAATGTCAAATCATCCTTTCTGTGAAGAATTTTTTCCTCATGTGCAATCTAAACCTCCCCAGGCACAACTTGAGGCCATTTCCTCTTGACGGCGGTCTCAATATGCGCCAGGGGAGGTCCAGGTTGGATATCAGGAGGAATTTCTTCACGGAAAGGGCTGTCAGGCGTTGGAAGGGGCTGCCCAGGGAGGTGGTGCAGTCACGATCACGGTGGTGTTCAAGGAACAACTGGACCTGTCACTCAGTACTCTGCTCTGGCTGACAAGGTGGTGATCGGTCACCACCAGGTTGGACTGGATGTTCTCGGAGGTCTTTTCCACCCGAACTGGTTCTGTGACTGTGTAACCGCGCTGTGGCCGCCGCCCCTCACGGCCCCGCCCTCACCCCTCACGGCACCGCCCCAGAGCCCGCCTTCCCCGCTCCTTCTCGCGGAGTCTCGCGAGAGGTGGCTGTTCCCGGCCGGCCGCCTCCGGGAAGCGCCTCGGCTCCCGCTCCCTGTTCCCCGCTCCCGGCTCTGTTCCCGCTCCAGCCCCGGGCGATGGAGGAGCCCTGCGGCGCGGGCGCCGCTGCCCCGCTCAGGGGGGACGCCGAGGAGCCCAAGCAGGTACGGGCGGTAGAGGAGGGGCCGTGAGGGAGCGGCGCTGAGGGGAGGGTTACGAGCCGTGGTTGCGAACACATCCCCTAGTGGTGCTCTAATTTAAGTGGTGGCTCTGATCCTCTTTCCAGTCTGGAATGCCGCTGTCAGGGCCGGAGTGCGGTAGGCAGCTCGCTAATTATGATTAAGCACTAATTGCGAGCGGTGTTGCTGTTGTTGTTCCTGAGTGCATCGCATTTACGTAAGTGGTGTCCCGTGGAGCTGCTTTTCCCTTAACGTGTGTCACTCCAGGGCTTCTCACACGCGTGTGACAGCCGCGTGTTTTTTGCTGTATTTAGCAAGAAACAGGCAGCCGTGAGGGTTATTTATTTGTTATTACTTGAAGTGTTTAGCTTTAACGTTGGTGTTAGTGAACGCTTGGTGTTAGTCAGCACTTACTTTCTCAGACTTTAGTGGGAGTTATGTTTTAATTTTGGCCTTTCTGAGTGATTTCACGTTCCATGGGGAGCTGACCGTAATGGCACTTCAGCCCCATGACTGTGCCCAGGTGGACCAGAAGGCCAGTGGCACCTGGCTTGGATCAGCCATGGTGTGTCCAGCAGGACCAGGACAGTGAATATTCCCCCTGTGCTGGGCACTGCTGAGGTCAAACCTCACATCCTGGGGGAGGTTTTGGGCCCCTCGTATCAAGTAGGACATTGAGGGGCTGGAGTGTGTGCAGGGAAGGGAAGGGAGCTGGGGAAGGGTCTGGAACAGCAGGAGCAGCTGAGGGAGCTGTGAGGGCTCAGCCTGGAGAAAAGGAGGCTCAGGGGGGACCTTCTGGCTCTGTAACTCCCTGACAGGAGCGGGGAGCCCGGGGGGCTGGAATTCAGGCTCTGCTCCCAGGGAACAAGGGACAAGAGGAGAGGAAACGGCCTCAAACTGTGCCAGGGGAGGGTCAGGTTGGACATCAGGAGGAATTTCTTCCTGGAAAGGGTGTTCAGGCATTGGAAAGGGCTGCCCAGGGAGGTGGTGGAGTGCCCATCCCTGGAGGTGTCCAAGGAAGGACTGGCCGTGGCACTCAGTGCTTTGGGCTGGGGAACAAGGTGGGAATTGGGCATAAGTTGGACTTGATGACCTTGGAAGTCTTTTCCAACCTTAATGATTCTGTGATAACTCACGAAGTGGAGCTTGTGTTTGACACATTTCAGGATATCTGAAATACTCGTGAGCACATGCAGGAGAAAGAGGTAAGTGAATACAGGACTGGGGTTTGGTCACTTACTATTAAAAATACCTGATTAGAGAGCAAGCCTGATAGTTTTAATTGCCAACATATTAAAAATAAAAGGCTAATTTCTCTTTGCAAACCAGGGGTCGGTGCTGTTCCTTGGAGGCAATGAAGTGAAGAGCAGTGCAGTGGTGAAATACTCCTCTGCCCCACCACAGGCAGCCTTTGCTCGGCTCCAGGAGAAAACAGACTTGAAGCTCCCCCCGGCCAACTGGTTACGTGAGAGTGCCAAGTTGGGGCCAGCAGGGACAACCATTCTGGGCAACAGCAAAAAAAGTAAACCCTTCTCAAGGTAATTATTTTCTTCCAGGCCTTTATGAAGAATTCTAATAGTGAGCTTGGAATCTGTGTCATCTAAAGGGTAAAGTACAGACTTTACCGTAGCAACAAGCTGTTGCTTTGTCTTAACCATTCTCCCTCTACTTTTTCATCTTGAGTTCTTACCTTTATGCTCTAATCTTGTCTCCTTTGTAAATGATTAATGATGCTGGTAATGCTGTGGATGATTATTTTGTTCAAGTGCGTGTTGACACCTTGCCTGAGACAGTCAAGCTGATTTTATATTCTTCACGGGTTGGCCAAAATTAAACTGCATTGGTTCAGTCAGCCAGCCTGCCTGTGATAACAGGTGAAAATGGAACAAATGTGCTTCCCCTTGGAAACCAAGAGCCAATTTATAGCTCTTCTGGATCTTTACAAACTGGATCTGACAAACTAATGGCAAATGGAATTTCCTGGTTATATCCGGAGTGAACACAGGAGGTGAAATAAGGGGCAAACCCAAAAAGCAGTGTTACCTTTCACTGTGAATGTTTGTTAAACAGTTGAATGACTTGAGTTCAGGGTGTTTATAAAGAGGAGGCTCAAATCCCGTGCTGAACAAGCAAATTCATACCAAGTCAACCAATTAGTGAAATTAAACAGTTTGTGGAAAATCTGTGTTTAAATCCTCGTAATCTCTTTTAGGAGCTGTACTTTTTTGAGCAGGATAACATGTATTTCAGGGCTTCATGATTTTTTTCCTGTTTATTTTCGATATTATGTTTATTTATCAAATAGAGGCTGGCAGTTGAATCTCTCTCTAGTGTCAGTATTAAAAAGCTGATAGCACAAGTATAACTTTGGACACTTGCACATCGTGTATTTTTGGGGTTATAGTAATATCTGGCTTAATTTTAAAGAATGATCTGTACATTGAAATATTCTAACTTAAGTAGCTTGTAATTTAGAGAGGCCTTAATGAGGGTGGAGGAATATACAGGGATGTGTCTGTTACAACATGCAGGGCAGTTTTGAAAAATAAGAGGTGAAATTAGATGACAGTTACTAAAATTAAAGTATTTAACAGGCTTAACGCCTTAGAGAGAAACTCTTTGAAAAACTGTTCTTCTTTTTAAAGAAATAACTCAATTTCTCTGATTTCCCATAGCTGCCTTAACAAACACTTCAATTTTTTCTTGAATTCAACAAAACTTCAAGTATTTTAGAATGTCTTGAAATCAGATCTAAGCACTTTCAAAGATATCTTTGAAAAACTTGTCGAGTATGAAAATGAAATTGTTTTGTTCATTAATTTTAAGTCTCATTACACTTGGTGATGTTTAGCTGGACTATTTTTTTTTTTTGATGAAAAAACCTTTCAAAGATTTAATAAGACTTAAACCCAGGTCTCTAATGTCATGCTGCACCTGTGTTAACTTGTCATATTTTTTTAAATAGCTTTGGGATGGCTTATGACTTCATTGACTCAGTTGGAAATGATGTAGATGTGGTGTCTGATTCAGAGGTATGTACAGCTTTTTAAGTTCTGTCATTCAAACTCTTATGTTGCATAAACTTTATTTTAATATGCTGTCACGGCTTTCTGGCATCTTTGTGTCCTTTGAGGAAAAGCAAAGATCCCCCAGTGAAACACAGATTCCCAAACTTCTGCCCTGCCATGTTGTGATCACTGAGTAAGAGATGCAGAGAGAAAATCATATTTTCTGTGGGTTTCTACAAATAATCTCCAGCTAAAATATTCAGTTTAGTGAATGTAGCACATCACTCTTGCAAGGCAGTTGTCTTGAGTGTTTGAAATTAGTTATTCTGATGTAAATTATTACTCTGAAGATGATTTCTGTTTCTATTCATATCTAGAAGAGAGAGCTGCCCTCCAACTTGCTGCTTCTTTCCTCTGATTTGTGTCAGCTTTTTGGTGGTGGAAATACCTGTAGAATTCAGATGAGGCTGTTCAGAAGGAACATACACACTCATTTACTGTGTTAAGATTTGGCAGATTTGTATTCAGACTTACATCTCTCTCCAGATTCCTCTGGACACCTGACAAAGTGTTGCTATTCCGGTGGTGAAGATAAAGCTTTAAAATCCAAGCCATCCACTTGCATTTGTTTTGTAATGTTTTGTTGATGGCTGGTCATGATTATCAAAAGAGAGAACATGTTTAAATCGTGTGTGTAGTGTTTACTGACTGCTTGGTCTCTCTCTCGCTGTCGTTTGTGTTCTCTGACCTCAACAAATGTATTTTCTTGAGGAATGGTTTAAAATCACTGTCACTGTAAGGTTTTATTTTCCTGAGCGTGTGTGCTGGTTTTGGCTGGGGGAATTTTCTTCCTGTTGGCTGGTCTGGGATTGCTTTGGATTTGTGCTGAACACAGGGCTGAAAATACAGAGATATTTTTGTTACTGCTGAGCAGGGCTTACACAGAGCCAAGGCCTTTCCTGCTTCTGCTACCACACTAGTGAGGGGATGGGGGTGCCTGGAAAATTGGGAGGAATCACAGCCGGGACAAGTGACCCCAAATGACCAAAGGGGGCTGGGGGAAAGAACAATAAAGGGAGGATGTTTGAAGTGATGGTGTTTGTCTTCCCAAGTCAGCGTCGATGGAGCCTTAGTTTGCGAATAATTGTCTTACAGTGCAGTATAATTACACTGAATATTGTCTCTTTTCACTTTTCTCCTGCC